GTGATCTTGTAGATCCTTGTCGATTTATGGAGAATGCCACTGTAGAGTTGTCCGTGTGGACCATCAGCATTCTGTTGATCAGCGAGCTCGACCATAGTTGTAAGGCGTTGATCACAGCTTTCATCTCCAGCAGATTGATGTGAAAATGCTGCTCTGTTTGGACCACTTCCTTGATGCAACTTGATTGTTGAGATGTGCACCCCAACCTTGTATCGATGCGTCTATGTAGAGATGTGTGTCGAAGGTCGGCTCTTGTAAATAGGTCCCTCCGCAGACGTTCGACCTGTGGGTCCACCAAAGTAGGTACCTCTTAAGATTGTCTGGCAGCAAGATAGGGTCGACGCTGTCCAGATGTTTTGTCAGGAACTGTCGCAGCGGCCTTAGTTGTAATTTTCCTGTGCGATGCAAGTCCTGCGCCGAGGTTAGTAGACCGAGTTGACATAGTGTTAACGGAGAGATGACTGCTTGTGGAATCATGGCTTGTATCTTGTATCTTGTACCCAATGATCTTTTGGGACCACAATTCGATTCTGTGTTGTGATAATTCTTATTCCCAGCAATTGAAGATCTTGTTTGATTCTAACTCCAACTTCATCAGGTTCACTAGTCATCCTAGTTGCGTGAGCAACTTAATTGTGAAGTTCAGCTGCTGTCTGACTTGATTGGCACTTTGAAGAACCTGTATGCCGTCGTCCAGATAACCGGCACTGCGTAGACCTCGATGCTGCATATAGGTGCCGATAGGCTTGGTTATTCGTATGAATAATCATAGAGCCGACGATATTCCAAATGGTAGGATCTTCCATCGGAAGTGCTAACCTCTGATTGCAGTGATGATACATCATTCTTCCCCTTATATCGCGAGGCGATCTGTGTTGATCAGCATACATCGAAGCGTTGTCTATTTATAGCAAGGCTGGCTCCAGTGTAGCATCGCAGGGGACAGGTACTCGTACCGACTTTTATCAGCGACAACTCCCAAAATAAACATTGTTTATCCTGCTGTCAAGGCTAGACATCTATTAGATTCCCATGATGATAACAGGTCGTAGTTGTATACTGTTTCCAAGGCTGCCGATGAAGTATTCCCCCGTATCAGAAAACATGGTGGAGCCTGCTCTGTCAGTGGGAGGCGTTGTCTGATGTGGACCAATCAGCTTCAAGCATGACGTCACCGGTGTTGTAGCAAGTTGGCCTCCATAAAATCTGATGCAATTAGTTGGTTGAGTAAAAGCGCGCGTAATTCTATGCCGCTCATATAAACCTCTTGAATAAGAGTTGCTCCAAGTGTAAAATCTTGTTCAGTGATATAAATCACGTATTCCCATTGTGGATAATATAAGCCAGCATGATGAAGGAGGCTGTCAAGACGTATGTCTGTATGGATCTTGAAGAAATACCGAAGTTGAATCTAGTTGATAGGATATAAAATCATAAAGGTCTACTTCATGCGGAGGTAATATCTCTTCGTTGAAGGATTTCTAATGTGTTGACTTACTAGGCCGCATAGATTTACCCTCCGATCTGGTAACAGATGGTTTCTTCTGCGACGTTGAAGAAGACGACGTCTTTTTCTTAGTTTGAGTCGGAGACAACTGCGTTGTAGCCAATCTCTTTTTGGCCCCAGCACAAGCAGACTGCCCCCGCAACGTACTCAACATAGCACCAGTATTATGAATTTCAGCAGTAGCTAGCAACATACGGTTTGCAGGCTGATCTCCTGTTATGTCAGCCATAACTTGAGATGAATTCCTCACCCGAACCATGGCAAATCTATAGACGTAAGACAAATATTGATTAAATTGTAGATCAGATAAATCAACACAATAATTACAGCGCAAGCTAGAAGAACATGGTTTTGGGTGAGGATCAGCCACGGATTACCTGTGCCTGCAAACACTGCAAGCTTTCATGAAATGTAAACAAAGTTACATAACGATGCAATTATGACACAAACAAAAATAATTTCTTTACATATAATACATAGTAGTTATTGCCAAATCTATACACAGCATAATTTTGAAGAATAGGACCTAAATAAAAAGGATATAATGCCGTATACGGGACTCCAGTGCTCGCCCAACCATCCACTTGGGCGAAAAGGGAGAGAGTGGCAAGTAAGGCTGGTCACATGACTGTTTACGCGGGAAAAGGGAGGTAACTCTTGGGTGAGTGTATTTTTACGTCTGATTCGGGAACTTCAAGGGATTCAAGTGTTCCACTACCATTCGCAAGGAAAAGGGAGATAAGCAAAAGATCATGAGTCAGGATAAATAAAAATTAAGCGGATCAAAAACATCTTTTGTGTACAATATCTTGACACATCAATGAATAATAAACACAATTTCAAGACATTACGTGAACGTTTGCAGTCCATTCAGACTCTTGACTTCAGTATCTAGTGTGACCACCACGGGTGGCAATAACTGCAGCACAGCGTCTATGCATGGAGTGCACCAATCAATTGATGAAGGCCATTGGCACCTGGAACCACACTCTGAGAAAGGTCTGGCACAATAAATCGGCCTTGATATGACATTATTCAGTCTCCTCTGAATTTCACCCCAAAGATGTTCAATTGCATTTAAATCAGGACTAAAGGCTGACCACTGCATAATGTTGACACAGTTCTGCTGTAGGAAGTCCCATGTAGCTCTGGCAGTATGGGCCCAGGCATTATCATGCTGGAAAATGTTGTTCCAGTGACATGCGAAATCTGGTATGACGTGGGGTTTGAGAGCTTGGTACGAATCAGGCCTCCATTCCACCCCATACCATGACCCACTCTCTGGCTCAGGGATGTAGGCTTGCCGCTGTGATGCTGTCTCCTCTCCCTGGAACCCAAGGTTCTGGATTCCACACCACAGGACCCACTCTCTGGCTCAGGCCTATTCCACCCCATCAGGCCATGATTCCACCCCATACCATGACCCACTCTCTGGCTCAGGCCTATTCCACCCCATACCATGACCCAGCCTATTCCACCCCATACCATGACCCGCTCTCTGGCTCAGGCCTATTCCACCCCATACCATGACCCACTCTCTGGCTCAGGCCTATTCCACCCCATACCATGACCCACTCTCTGGTTCAGGCCTATTCGACTCCATACCATGATGCTTGGACCTCCCCATGAGTCTCTTTCCATAACACATTGGTTTGAGTAATGCTGGCCACGTCATCACCATATTCTTGTTCTGCCATCTGTAGTTGATATGCAGTACTGACTCTCATCTGTGAACAGAACAGTTCTCCATTGCCTGTAACACCAGTTTTGGTGTTGTAGGGCAAACTGTAGATGTTCACGCCATTGACGAGGGGTGAGGATAGGTCCACGGTAAGGTCTACGGCAAGACTACGGCAAGACGTCGGCATACCGTATCAGTACTGATTGGTCTTCCGTGTGTTCCCAGTGTCTGGCGTGCTGTTTCGGATGGCTGCCTGATGGGATTCTGTACATGCTGTCGCACAACATGGCGGTCTTGTGGTCTTGTGGTCAACCTTGGTCTGCCAGTACGGGGGCGATCATTTGTGGTGTTGGTGGCCCGGAAACATTGCTGCAGCCTGTAGATGGTCCGAACGTTGACCTGGAAGTGATTGGCAACAGCTTGTGCAGTGTGGCCAGCTTCAAGTCTTCCTAGCGCCTGGTTCCTCTCAGCTGTCGTGAGTCGTGGCATCCTGCTGACGTTGTAATGTGAATGTTTCAACCAGGTTTGGGGGGCATTTTATAGGGCTGGTCCTTGTGAACAGCAAGTGCAGCATGAGTTGCATGAAAAACATGGAGAACACTGTACCATCTCTGAGATCAGGCTGCGTTTTTGAGACCATTTCCTGGGTTCCATTCTGAGTTTGGGAAGGAATGTCTTTGCTCAGGTAAAGTTGGAGATGTTGTCAAAAAAAATGCAAATAAAACATTAAATGAGTTTACAGTTATCCATTTCTGCGAAGGAAAATTCCAAACTGACGTTTCTTTTGCTGCTTAGTATATTATTGCTGGGACAGGTCCAAATTTTCTACCCAGGTACTCCACATCCTATTACCCTACCTTACCCAGATACCCGTTGTGTTAATTCCTGACATCAAACTTGCAACAAATGGCAGTATATTCTTCAGCTCGGAGGCTAAAATCTCGAGGTTTTTCAATATCGTACCCATGTATTATATTCAAAAGAAGTGACTGTAAATTATGTCTAAATCTTAAAAGACAAAACAATCTTTTTATCATAAAAGAATAATATGTTACATTGTTTAATCTATTAGTCACATGATCATAATGGGTCCGGGTATTGAAATGGGTACCCGGGTCCAACTCATTACCCACCTGTCTCGGGTATCTAGGTTAGCGGTCCGAGCCCTAGTATATACATTTCTATTCATTTTTCGAGAGACACTTCCACCCCAGCCCATGTATTCTACTCCAATCAGTAAAGTTGAACTGAGAGAACGAGGATTCCTGGTGGGGGGAGAGTTGACCTCACTAACCTGAGCTAGCTGTATGTAGATGTGGACAATCCCTCGGAGGATTCCTGGTGGGGGGAGAGTTGACCTCACTAACCTGAGCTAGCTGTATGTAGATGTGGACAATCCCTCGGAGGATTCCTGGTGGGGGGAGAGTTGACCTCACTAACCTGAGCTAGCTGTATGTAGATGTGGACAATCCCTATGGAGGACTCCTGGATTCCTGGTGGGGAGAGTTGACCTCACTAACCTGAGCTAGCTGTATGTAGATGTGGACAATCCCTCGGAGGATTCCTGGTGGGGGGAGAGTTGACCTCACTAACCTGAGCTAGCTGTATGTAGATGTGGACAATCCCTCGGAGGATTCCTGGTGGGGGGAGAGTTGACCTCACTAACCTGAGCTAGCTGTATGTAGATGTGGACAATCCCTCGGAGGATTCCTGGTGGGGGGAGAGTTGACCTTACTAACCTGAGCTAGCTGTATGTAGATGTGGACAATCCCTCGGAGGATTCCTGGTGGGGGGAGAGTTGACCTTACTAACCTGAGCTAGCTGTATGTAGATGTGGACAATCCCTCGGAGGACTCCTGGGTCCTTGTCACACAAGGCTCTCTGGAAGTCAGCGTGGGCATAGATCAGCATGTTGGGAGCTTTCAGATAGAACTGATGTAGAGTGTGCTGCTAGCTGTATAGCAATGTCAAGTAGGGGGCAGAAACTTGGGTCCCCATCAGTAAAGATAGGAACATGGGGTGTGTCAAGTGTGAGTGTCATGTACATACCGCTGATGTTTCCCCAACAGTAGAGATAGGAAAATGGGGTGTGTCAAGTGTGAGTGTCATGTACATACCGCTGATGTTTCCCCAACAGTAGAGATAGGAACATGGGGTGTGTCAAGTGTGAGTGTCATGTACATACCGCTGATGTTTCCCCAACAGTAGAGATAGGAACATGGGGTGTGTCAAGTGTGAGTGTCATGTACATACCGCTGATGTTTCCCCAACAGTAGAGATAGGAACATGGGGTGTGTCAAGTGTGAGTGTCATGTACATACCGCTGATGTTTCCCCCAACAGTAGAGATAGGAACATGGGGTGTGTCAAGTGTGAGTGTCATGTACATACCGCTGATGTTTCCCCAACAGTAGAGATAGGAACATGGGGTGTGTCAAGTGTGAGTGTCATGTACATACCACTGATGTTTCCCCAACAGTAGAGATAGGAACATGGGGTGTGTCAAGTGTGAGTGTCATGTACATACCACTGATGTTTCCCCAACAGTAGAGATAGGAACATGGGGTGTGTCAAGTGTGAGTGTCATGTACATACCACTGATGTTTCCCCAACAGTAGAGATAGGAACATGGGGTGTGTCAAGTGTGAGTGTCATGTACATACCACTGATGTTTCCCCAACAGTAGAGATAGGAACATGGGGTGTGTGTCAAGTGTGAGTGTCATGTACATACCGCTGATGTTTCCCCAACAGTAGAGATAGGAACATGGGGTGTGTCAAGTGTGAGTGTCATGTACATACCACTGATGTTTCCCCAACAGTAGAGATAGGAACATGGGGTGTGTCAAGTGTGAGTGTCATGTACATACCACTGATGTTTCCCCAACAGTAGAGATAGGAACATGGGGTGTGTCAAGTGTGAGTGTCATGTACATACCACTGATGTTTCCCCAACAGTAGAGATAGGAACATGGGGTGTGTCAAGTGTGAGTGTCATGTACATACCACTGATGTTTCCCCAACAGTAGAGATAGGAACATGGGGTGTGTCAAGTGTGAGTGTCATGTACATACCACTGATGTTTCCCCAACAGTAGAGATAGGAACATGGGGTGTGTCAAGTGTGAGTGTCATGTACATACCACTGATGTTTCCCCAACAGTAGAGATAGGAACATGGGGTGTGTCAAGTGTGAGTGTCATGTACATACCACTGATGTTTCCCCAACAGTAGAGATAGGAACATGGGGTGTGTCAAGTGTGAGTGTCATGTACATACCGCTGATGTTTCCCCAACAGTAGAGATAGGAACATGGGGTGTGTCAAGTGTGAGTGTCATGTACATACCACTGATGTTTCCCCAACAGTAGAGATAGGAACATGGGGTGTGTCAAGTGTGAGTGTCATGTACATACCACTGATGTTTCCCCAACAGTAGAGATAGGAACATGGGGTGTGTCAAGTGTGAGTGTCATGTACATACCGCTGATGTTTCCCCAACAGTAGAGATAGGAACATGGGGTGTGTCAAGTGTGAGTGTCATGTACATACCGCTGATGTTTCCCCAACAGTAGAGATAGGAACATGGGGTGTGTCAAGTGTGAGTGTCATGTACATACCACTGATGTTTCCCCAACAGTAGAGATAGGAACATGGGGTGTGTCAAGTGTGAGTGTCATGTACATACCGCTGATGTTTCCCCAACAGTAGAGATAGGAACATGGGGTGTGTCAAGTGTGAGTGTCATGTACATACCGCTGATGTTTCCCCAACAGTAGAGATAGGAACATGGGGTGTGTCAAGTGTGAGTGTCATGTACATACCGCTGATGTTTCCCCAACAGTAGAGATAGGAACATGGGGTGTGTCAAGTGTGAGTGTCATGTACATACCGCTGATGTTTCCCCAACAGTAGAGATAGGAACATGGGGTGTGTCAAGTGTGAGTGTCATGTACATACCACTGATGTTTCCCCAACAGTAGAGATAGGAACATGGGGTGTGTCAAGTGTGAGTGTCATGTACATACCGCTGATGTTTCCCCAACAGTAGAGATAGGAACATGGGGTGTGTCAAGTGTGAGTGTCATGTACATACCACTGATGTTTCCCCAACAGTAGAGATAGGAACATGGGGTGTGTCAAGTGTGAGTGTCATGTACATACCACTGATGTTTCCCCAACAGTAGAGATAGGAACATGGGGTGTGTCAAGTGTGAGTGTCATGTACATACCGCTGATGTTTCCCCAACAGTAGAGATAGGAACATGGGGTGTGTCAAGTGTGAGTGTCATGTACATACCACTGATGTTTCCCCAACAGTAGAGATAGGAACATGGGGTGTGTCAAGTGTGAGTGTCATGTACATACCGCTGATGTTTCCCCAACAGTAGAGATAGGAACATGGGGTGTGTCAAGTGTGAGTGTCATGTACATACCGCTGATGTTTCCCAACAGTAGAGATAGGAACATGGGGTGTGTCAAGTGTGAGTGTCATGTACATACCGCTGATGTTTCCCCAACAGTAGAGATAGGAACATGGGGTGTGTCAAGTGTGAGTGTCATGTACATACCGCTGATGTTTCCCCAACAGTAGAGATAGGAACATGGGGTGTGTCAAGTGTGAGTGTCATGTACATACCACTGATGTTTCCCCAACAGTAGAGATAGGAACATGGGGTGTGTCAAGTGTGAGTGTCATGTACATACCGCTGATGTTTCCCCAACAGTAGAGATAGGAACATGGGGTGTGTCAAGTGTGAGTGTCATGTACATACCACTGATGTTTCCCCAACAGTAGAGATAGGAACATGGGGTGTGTCAAGTGTGAGTGTCATGTACATACCACTGATGTTTCCCCAACAGTAGAGATAGGAACATGGGGTGTGTCAAGTGTGAGTGTCATGTACATACCGCTGATGTTTCCCCAACAGTAGAGATAGGAACATGGGGTGTGTCAAGTGTGAGTGTCATGTACATACCGCTGATGTTTCCCCAACAGTAGAGATAGGAACATGGGGTGTGTCAAGTGTGAGTGTCATGTACATACCACTGATGTTTCCCCAACAGTAGAGATAGGAACATGGGGTGTGTCAAGTGTGAGTGTCATGTACATACCCACTGATGTTTCCCCAACAGTAGAGATAGGAACATGGGGTGTGTCAAGTGTGAGTGTCATGTACATACCGCTGATGTTTCCCCAACAGTAGAGATAGGAACATGGGGTGTGTCAAGTGTGAGTGTCATGTACATACCACTGATGTTTCCCCAACAGTAGAGATAGGAACATGGGGTGTGTCAAGTGTGAGTGTCATGTACATACCACTGATGTTTCCCCAACAGTAGAGATAGGAACATGGGGTGTGTCAAGTGTGAGTGTCATGTACATACCACTGATGTTTCCCCAACAGTAGAGATAGGAAGATGGGGGTGTCAAGTGTGAGTGTCATGTACATACCACTGATGTTTCCCCAACAGTAGAGATAGGAACATGGGGTGTGTCAAGTGTGAGTGTCATGTACATACCACTGATGTTTCCCCAACAGTAGAGATAGGAACATGGGGTGTGTCAAGTGTGAGTGTCATGTACATACCGCTGATGTTCCCCAACAGTAGAGATAGGAACATGGGGTGTGTCAAGTGTGAGTGTCATGTACATACCACTGATGTTTCCCCAACAGTAGAGATAGGAACATGGGGTGTGTCAAGTGTGAGTGTCATGTACATACCACTGATGTTTCCCCAACAGTAGAGATAGGAACATGGGGTGTGTCAAGTGTGAGTGTCATGTACATACCACTGATGTTTCCCCAACAGTAGAGATAGGAACATGGGGTGTGTCAAGTGTGAGTGTCATGTACATACCACTGATGTTTCCCCAACAGTAGAGATAGGAACATGGGGTGTGTCAAGTGTGAGTGTCATGTACATACCGCTGATGTTTCCCCAACAGTAGAGATAGGAACATGGGGTGTGTCAAGTGTGAGTGTCATGTACATACCACTGATGTTTCCCCAACAGTAGAGATAGGAACATGGGGTGTGTCAAGTGTGAGTGTCATGTACATATACCACTGATGTTTCCCCAACAGTAGAGATAGGAACATGGGGTGTGTCAAGTGTGAGTGTCATGTACATACCACTGATGTTTCCCCAACAGTAGAGATAGGAACATGGGGTGTGTCAAGTGTGAGTGTCATGTACATACCACTGATGTTTCCCCAACAGTAGAGATAGGAACATGGGGTGTGTCAAGTGTGAGTGTCATGTACATACCGCTGATGTTTCCCCAACAGTAGAGATAGGAACATGGGGTGTGTCAAGTGTGAGTGTCATGTACATACCGCTGATGTTTCCCCAACAGTAGAGATAGGAACATGGGGTGTGTCAAGTGTGAGTGTCATGTACATACCACTGATGTTTCCCCAACAGTAGAGATAGGAACATGGGGTGTGTCAAGTGTGAGTGTCATGTACATACCGCTGATGTTTCCCCAACAGTAGAGATAGGAACATGGGGTGTGTCAAGTGTGAGTGTCATGTACATACCGCTGATGTTTCCCCAACAGTAGAGATAGGAACATGGGGTGTGTCAAGTGTGAGTGTCATGTACATACCGCTGATGTTTCCCCAACAGTAGAGATAGGAACATGGGGTGTGTCAAGTGTGAGTGTCATGTACATACCACTGATGTTTCCCCAACAGTAGAGATAGGAACATGGGGTGTGTCAAGTGTGAGTGTCATGTACATACCACTGATGTTTCCCCAACAGTAGAGATAGGAACATGGGGTGTGTCAAGTGTGAGTGTCATGTACATACCGCTGATGTTTCCCCAACAGTAGAGATAGGAACATGGGGTGTGTCAAGTGTGAGTGTCATGTACATACCACTGATGTTTCCCCAACAGTAGAGATAGGAACATGGGGTGTGTCAAGTGTGAGTGTCATGTACA